AGAGACAATCTCTCATGCAGAAGAATTCTGAATAACTTATGTAGATACCCTACCCTCAAGGAGTATACTTGACTCCACACTACTTAAATGTGGGCTATGCAAGTGACTTCCTTTGGAAGAGTACAGTACAATATGGAAAGGAGGGGAAGAGTAACTTTACAGTGGAGAAATCCAACAAACATGACCTCAACCAAATGATCAAGGTCAACATCAACAGTGATGTCATGCTGATAGCATGTGCATGTACCCTAGGTACGATGTCATGAAAATAGCACTTTATGTTCTATCTCCTTGAAACTCATAACTTTATGAGAAAATCATCTGACTAATCCCACTAGAGGGACATTCTACAAAATACCTGAGCAGTATTCCTTAAACTGTCAAAGTCATCAAAAACAAGGAGAGTCTAATAAACTGTTAACAGTCAAGAGGAACCTAAGAAAACATGAGGACTAAATGTAATGTTCTATACTGGATGGGATCCTGGAGCAGAAAAAGGATACTAGATAAAGACTGAGGAAATGTGAATAATGTTTGGATTTTGGTTAATATATCAATATTGGGTCATTAATTGTAACAAATGTACCATACTAATGTAAGATGTTAATAATAATAGAGTAACAGGGTATATGGGGATACCCTGTACGGTTTTCACAATATTTCTGTAAATCTAAAACTGTTCTTAAAAATAAACCTTACTTAAGAAAAAAAAAAGGCATTACCTCTTTATTCTATAAAATGGAAATTTAGACTTAGGTTAAGTCACTCAATTTCACATACTAGTACTTATTAAGGTACTCCATAAAATGCTGGACTAAATTTTTAGAATAAAACTAATGAAATAAATGTTGTGGATATGTGCCCATGAGTATCAAAGTTAGGCTCTGTTCATGTGACTGATCTGTAGGTGATTTCTTTCTTAGCCCCAATTATGAAGTTCTTTGAGTATACATGATAAAGGAATGGTGAGGTTCTGTTACTTTTTAAAATTTTAAGGCTCTCCTAAAATAGTTTGTGCAGACAAAAATCTAAGGAAATAGCATTTGTGCTGTTTTCTTCTCCCCAGCTTGGTTTTAAAAGTCATCCATTTGTTCAAATCAGTCATACCACATTCTGTAATCTTTCTGGATGACTATTTTTATACCTTACTGTGAGAATTGGCCCACTGGGTAACTTCTCAGGATTAACAAGGTACTGGGAACTGGAGGAAACCCTTTGAATACACACCCTTTGTAAACTTAAGTTGAAAAATAGAGAGCTAAGAATGGCAGGAAGAAAAAGAAACTACCCAAACAAAGAAAATGCAGTGGAAGGCTGCCATGAGAAATAACCAGCATAGAGAAGGTTATTATTTCAAAAGTAGCTTGTTGCCCAAAGAAAAAGTTAGTTCCTATTAAGACTAATTTGGAATGTTATAAATGCTTTATTAAAAGCCATCATGTAATACTTAAGAAAACAGAATACAACAACACCAAAACCTCATTCCAATACATATCACATCCTATCTTTACAATACATTTCACAGGAATAAGATAACAATCTTATTGGTTATATTTTCTTTTTTAAAAGTCAGCTACAGCTTATCAGAAGTGATTTTAAAGACTTGATTTTTAAAAGACAGGATAAAAACTCTAAAGGACAGTTGAACTGAAGGAGTGCGATGCTAAAAATACATAAATGAGGACTGAAAACTCTGAGGCAAAATTATTCTCTCTCAATTACATGTCACCCTTGTCATTTCTAATTTCATTTCATACGTTTGGAAGTAGAAATGATTAAGTGAACAAAATAAAGAATGAGGGTAAGATTATTAAGCCTATGAAAACAGATGTTCATATGTTTGGGGAAGACCAAGATGGTCCTACAAAAATCTGCAAAATATGGAAATTTTCTTTCAATTGGTTATGTTATATCTCATAGCATTTCAAATTAGATAGAGCCAAAAAATGTGATAAAGAAAAACAATGACATCACTTTATCCCTCAATAGCTTTGTCTATTAAAATCAAATAATATATACATCTTCAGGAATGCCTCACAAGAATTCTGACAAAATAAAAAGAAGGTATGTATAGTATTCTTAGCCTCAGACTTAATAAGCAGACTTACGGGTTACCACAAATTCTCTGACACTGCATGCAAAGTTTTGTGTGCATTTTCTAAGAGTGTTTAGGGCTTTTAACAGATTCACTAGAATGTTAAACTCCATGAGGGCAGAGATTTCTGTTTTGTTCACATGTATCTCTAGCACAGAGAAGAGTGCCTGACACACAGCAGGCACTCAGTGAATACTTGTTGAATAAATTAATTACTGAGGGGATAGCCACTTATCTAAAAGAAATTTCCTATTGCCAAATGCACTTTCACAGACTTAAAAGTAATAATTATTTAAGTGGCAATAATATGTAGATCTATCTTAGTCACCCTTTGAGGTAGGTACTATTTTCCCCCATTTGACAAATGAGGAAAAAAGTCAAATCACTTGGCTAGAAAGTGGGGAGCTGGGCCTGAAGCCCAACTGGTCTGGATTTCTAACTAACATTCTTTACTCAAATGAATATACTGTAAAAGTGAAAACATATTCTTATCATTTTTAAAATATATTTTTTAAAAAAAGCTTTTCTGGATTCTTATAACTGAAATTGACATGACACGGACTTTGAAGATAAGCTTTTCCTTTTTATTCATATTAGAGTGCTTCCTTGGATGAAGGTTGTTCAGTATTTATGAAAAATCAGAAATAAATAAGGCCCTAATAACATGTAGAGAGAAATATATGATGCTCTTGAACATTAAAAAATGTAAATAAAATCTCAACATGTGGCTCTTCTGTAAGTTAGTCAAAGAAAAGGCATTTTCCGGCCGGGCTTGGTGGCTCACGCCTGTAATCCTAGCACTCTGGGAGGCCGAAGCGGGCGGATTGCTCAAGGTCAGGAGTTCAAAACCAGCCTGAGCGAGACCCCGTCTCTACCATAAAAATAGAAAGAAATTAATTGGCCAACTAATATATATAATATAAAAATCAGCCGGGCAAGGTGGTGCATGCCTGTAGTCCCAGCTACTCGGGAGGCTGAGGCAGGAGGATTGCTTGAGCCCAGGAGTTTGAGGTTGCTGCGAGCTAGGCTGATGCCACGGCACTAACTCTAGCCTAGGCAAGAAAGCGAGACTCTGTCTCAAAAAAAAAAAAAAAAAAAAAAGAAAAGGCATTTTCCCTAGATACTAGGGGACCCTCAACATGTATCTTAATTTCAGATCTGAAAAAAAAAATTCTTCTAAATATTCTGGGTTTTATTCTTTGATTAGGGCTGACCACTAGGACAGATGTATTTTTAGACAACAATATCTTAGCCTCTCACAGAACCTTTACTGAGTTGTGGTTAATAGCATGTTCTGAGACCTTGTTTATAAAAAAAACAAACTGCTACAGAAACCTTATACTTCATGGTGGTGAGGAAACATCCTACCACATAATGCAGTATCATCATAAAAAATGGTTTTTCTTAAAAAATAATAAATATTTTTCCCCATGAAATATGATCCAATTTCTATTTTTGCTTTGGCCTCCAGGAAGCTCAGAATCAAATCTGCAGCTCAACCTTACACAACATAGGATCTCATAGCCTGTATGTCTGTGTATTATCTTCCTGTTTACCTCTATTTTCTAAATCCATTTCTTATGTACATTTTTCTATTTTGTTGAATTATAAATATTCTAATAAGATACTACACTACTTCAGTAATATGAAGTATAGTGTTTATACCTCATATGAGGTGTAATATGAGGCTATAAGCTAAAACAAATTAAAGACCCTCAAGTCATTTTTACTGTCAAATCAACAAGGATTTAACAAATAAATATCTGATTTATAGGCTCATTTAACACTGACAACACAAAAACATCTGTATCTTAAATTTAGCTTTCAAGAATACATGTGTACCCACGCAAACACATTTTTACTTATCCCTATGTGACTAGCAACATTGTTCTTCAAGTCAATATTTTCCTTACAACTAGGAACCATGGGATCTCTGTCCTGCAAAGCTGTTCTTCCACACCAATGCGATAGCAGGGATTTTAATAAAAACTGGATTTGTGACTAGATACTGCTTTGTATATTTATCTTGGTGATTTGTTCTTGGAGGCAAAAACTATAATTACACTAAAACTCCTACTGATTAACAAAATAATTCAAAAGCTGCACCAAAAAGAGACAGAAATTGATCTCTATATATTTAAATAAATAAAATATTGTATTGGTGTTCAGTAATTAATGTCTTAAATTTTCCATTCCAAAGCTCCAAGACATCAAACAGAGCAGATGAATTAGATATCCAAGAACACGGAGGTAAATGAAAGCATTTCAATCTGGCCACAGAGGCTAGAGTTGAACTTCTAACAAAGAATGGAGAAGATACAATTTCGGTATTCTGTTTTGATCACAATGTAATGAACAGAACACAAACTGAAGGGCTGGGAAGGTATGTCTATGAATACAGCATCTCCCACTTACCAGTCTGTGTGACCTTGGGCAAGTCACTCTAATAATCTGAATCTTAATATCCCTGTCTATAAAATCTATGTAATCTATAGCTCACAGAGTTTATACTACACGGAAAGGAGGTGGCATAAGGCCTAGTATATCAGTGGTAGCTTTTTCTCATCAAATTTGAGATTTATGATGCTGGCATATTTCCAACCTTGGGAAAGAAGCCAAGGGACAAAATGTGTACTTGGCAGGTTTTCATGTTTGGGAACTAGTGTCCTGTGGGGGATCTGCAATTAGACAGTATGCAATTCAGAAATCTATTATATGTTATCAACATCATAATTCATTTTAACCAAATGAAATTACAAAGAAGACAGAGCTCTTCCATTTCAAGAAAGTCAAATAATTACAACTCCAAATAACTCCTCTCATTTACTTTTTTTCTTTTCCTTGCCCAATAAAGAAAACAACTTACCCCAAATATGCAAAACAAAAACACAACCATGCATTGTAATCAGTGAACTGCCACAGAATCTTTATTAAAGAAATCAAACTTAGTATGCTGGCTCTAAAAATGTTTGCCAAGTAAGTACCTCTAATTTTATTGTATACTTTAAAACAGTATTGGTTGAATGGCTATATAAGTATCAGATTCAATCTATAGCATATAATGTAATAAAAAAGATGACTTTCTCAGAAAAGATGGCTTTCTAATAAAACCATGTACAGCTATCACATTGTTTCAATCCAAATATGGCATTATAGTGCCATTCTAAAAATAAATCTAAGTCCCATGTGATATGCAGCACTTTAGCTATGTTCATTTCCTTTTAGGGCTCAAGTTTCCCACAGGAAAATTATTCAATGTTTGGCAAAACTGTCCCAAATCATGTATGGATAAGGCATAAATGCTAACTGTACTGTCAATTTCTCCCTGTTTGCTATTGTTGATTCTTCTTCACAGCAATCCACCAGGGAGAGGCCCAAGAAGCAGGAAATACTCAAGGATTGTTACCTGACAAAGTGAACATAAAAAGTATCATTTTGAGTAAAAAGGTGGTGATAGTCAGAGGAAGGAGGTAATTTATGGGTTAGCTAAATCAGAACACATGAAATTATTATATGTAAAGTCATATTCTAAACAAATGTTTCTGATAACTGTGAGAACATCCAAATACTTAATTCAATTGTATTATTTATATTATTAAGTAAACTGCATATTAAATGCTCTCTCAGTATAGCTTAATAGATTGTATTGTTTGACTTGGATTATTATTTGCTTAAATATTTTGTAAAATATTATATGCTAAGAATAAAACCTTCTTGTCCAGGTGTGGTGGCTCATGCCTGCAATCCTAGCGCTCTGGGAAGCTGAGGCGGGAGGATTGCTTGAGCTCAGGAGTTCGAGACCACCCTGAGCAAGAGTGAGACCCCGTCTCTACTTAAAACAGAAAAAATTAGCCGGGTATGGTGGCACGTGCCTATAGTCACAGCTACCTGGGAGGCTGAGGCAGGAGGATCACTTGAGCCCAGGAATTTGAGGTTGCTATTAGCTAGGCTGACGCCACGGCACTCTAGCTGAGGCAAGAGAGTGAGATTCTATTTCAAAAAAAGAGAATAAAACCTTCTCAAAATCACCCACTAATAATACACAACACACACAAACAATCAAGTCCTATATTCTTGAAGTTGTATTTTTACATACACAAATCAATTAAATTGTTATTTACAAGAAAATGCTTATGAATGTTTCAAAATGCTTAACAGATACTCAGTTTTACTTTGAAAAGTTAGTTTCTTCTGAAAATAACAAGTCTTAAGTCAGAAACTTAAGTGTGCCTACTGAGTAGCAAAAATATAGAGAGCAGCTAAAATGGCTAGATATATTAAAACATAACTTTCAAATTCTATGGAGGTTTCTTGCTCTTATAACAAATGAAAATCTGTGTTTAAATGATACAGGTCACAAAACATTTCCGTCAGTGAACTGCTGAACTGCATTCAGAATATACATATTCACAGGCTATAGGTATATATTCTAGGTTTCAACATTTACTTTATTTATTTTTATACAGCCTTCAGGCAAAAATGTTTTCTTGAGCCCAAACAGGTAAGAAATATCATGTTTAAGATTTAAATTTTTCTACCAAAGAATTAATCTTAAGAAATAATTATCAAGAAATATTGAAATAGTTAAAAGCTATCTTATTTCATCATTAATGTATAATGCTATAAGTAAATCAGATCTTTTTCTATTAACCTAAAATCTTAAAACTTATTGGTACACAGGAAATAATCCCAACCAACATCTATCAGTACCTATGCAGTAAAGCCTAAAGGACTCTCCTAGAATTAAACTTTTTATATTTCTTTTGATTTAAAATTCTTAGGAAATAGCAACTTTAAAGGTTTATATATACAACCTATGATCTTCAATTTTATTTAAGCAAAAACTTCACCCTTCTATCTCACTAGCAGTATGAATCCTATGAAGTGCCAATGAAGGCATTCTATAACAGAACTACTTTTTTTTTTTTAACTCTCTGTAACAAACATTTCTGAGGGTTGTTACCAATGATAAAAAGAACTTTTTAACTAATTAAGATTTATCAAACCTCAATTTGTTTGGCTGAAAGTAGCAATGGAAAGACTTTTTACTTATTTTATATAACACAAAGCAAAACGTGAACACTTGTTTCCTTTTTTCCCCAAATCTGCTGGAAACTCCTATTTTCTAAACACTTGACAAATCTCAAATAACCCTTTGGACTTATTCTGGTGGCATGATTGAGTCCAAGGGAGGTCTAAGACCTAGATTTAGTCCCAGTTCTGCAACTAATTAATTTTGTTACTACTCTGGGTCCCCTTTCTTCCATTTCTGACAGCGGGAGTCCAGATTATGACCCCTAAGGAATCTTCTAGTTCTGTTACTTTAGGGTTCTACATTTATATCATTCATCTACTCAAAAATCTCAAGTCTATCTCCAATTCCTAATTAGAACAAAATCCCTTAGCTATTTACTCCAGATTAGTGTATCAGCAGTTTATCTTTCTGGCCTTATTCTCCATCATACCTCAAATTAAAACTTCTTTAAAACAAATTAAAGCTCCAACCATGCTATCCTATTTCCATGGAAGACAGCAGCACCAGCTAACATGTACTAAGTGCTTACTGCATGCCAAGAACTGTGCTAAGAGCTTCACATGCATTAGAGTTCATTTAATCCTCACAGTACTTAAAAGAGACAGTGTTATTAATTAAGACAACTGACATTAAGAGTGATTATATACTTTGCCCCAGGCCTCACAGCTACAGGATTAGGATTCAAACCCAGGTCTGTCTGTCTCACAAACACATAGTTTTAATCACTACACATTACATGGTCTCTTTATTCTTTAAGTATACAAATGGCCCCTTTCCATTAGGACTTTGAAGATTAAAATATCATCTGCCAAACTTTTATTTTCCTAAGACCAACTTATTTTTAAAGTTCAATTATAATAAAGTGACCCCTCTTTACCACTTCAACCTCAAATTTCCTTTCCGCCTCTAAATTATTAAATCTTTCATTGTTAGCTCCAATGATTTTTTCCTTGATGAACAATCTAAATATTGTATGTCTATCAAACATACTATAAAAGCAGGACAAAAATATATAAAACATCAGTTTGAAAGAACTTAAGCAAATCAAGGCAGGACTTGAGGGATTTACAACCCCTGAGAGAAGGAAGCACACCAGCCCACTCCGTTTACCCAAGGCTTTTCTGAGGGTACGTGCCTGTTTGCAGGCCCTGGAAGTCATTGGGAGATTCTGACTTCTGTGTGATAAAGAAATAATAGCAGCCATCTTTTATTGAGTTTCTACGATGCCACCAAGCACAATTCTATACACTTTAGATGTGACAGTATCTAATTGTCACAATAATTCTTATGGGAGGGTATTAACCCATTTTCTGTTCACCACCTTCCTCTTTATCTCAGAGGAAAAAAATGGTTGAAGAGTATGAAGTAATTACAGTAACAACTTAAAGAGCCTTACTGTTTATTAATGTAACATGAATCTGATCTTGAACTACTGCTATGTTGGAGTCATCTTCAAAGATGAGGATTCTTCTGAAATTGAGACAGATTAAGATTACCTAATTAATTGCCAGAACTAGGATCTAAATTTTAACCTTATTTCCAGTGCTCTATAGACTGCAACACATAATCCTCCATGCAATGATGTTAGCAATACGTAATGTTAAGGTAACGTAAGCAGGAATGGGTTTGATTCCTACAAATATAATGTCATAAAGGAGAACTTTCAAATATGAAAAAGGCTTAAGTCAGATTCTCCTCCCTAGGGGCCAATGAAGACAGAGACCCACAAATGGCCTTTCTAAAAAAAAAATTTTTTTTTTTTGGTCTAGCTATAAATAAATGGCTTTGGCAGTGGAGCTTACACCTCATTTTCTGGAAGAAATTTCAGAAATAAATCATGTTGTAACTTTAGCTTTCTCCCCAAAATGCTGTCTTACCAATTCAATAAGTATTTGTTGAAAGATGATAGAATTTAAAATTTTATTTTAAAAAGACTATTACTTTTGTATTTTGTTCAAAGCCAATACAGCCCTTTTGTAGCAAGGCAATAAATCTTTCATTAAGTGACTATAGTCATGGTAACTGAACAATAAAGATATACTTTGCAAAGGGCTTTCTCATGTTATATATGTTGTGTTTGATAATTTGTAGATCACCTTATTAGGGTCTTTTGTCTATTGATCCTTTGGGTTTCTTTAATTCTGTCTAGCTGGGTACTTTATGGTAATCTCATTCAAGGAATAGGGTACAGTGAGGAGGGGAATCAGACCTACAGAAATCCTACTCTATCCAGAGCCTAGCCCATCTCATATACCACCTTCTAAGGAAACCTATCTACCATCATGTACCTCCTTACCCATGAAGATTACATAGCACTTTTCATTCCTCTAATGATCTCATAATGCCAGGCCTTGTATAATTTGTGTGCCAGGACACACACACATTCATTATATATATACATACACACACGTGTATTTGTTTTAATATATTCCTTGTCATGATTTTAAAAAGCACGCTTTCCAGTACCAGCTGTCTTCTTAGTAAAAGCCAAAGTGACAAAATCTGAAAAGATTCAAACAGATACCTATGAGGAGTAGTGATATACATTAGGAACCACTTAATAGGCCCAACATTCTGGGGTCTTACAGCTCCAAAATTCTGTTCCCACAATTGTAAAAATAATATTGACTTTGCCTATATTTCTAGGAGGATGAAATGACATGATGAATAGGAAACTGCTCTTTAAAGAGCTACGGGTAATATAGTGCTATTATGCCCTCACTTCCTATTTCAATAATATTTTCAAAACCTATGTGTCCTCCTGGTTTCCCTTTACTTCTGCTAAAATTTGTTTGCCTTTCTCTAAATGTGGGGTATCCTTTTCATAAAAACTAAGGCACTCACACAGTTGCAGAGGTCAAACAGTACAAAGCTTATAATGAAATAAACATCACTCCTAACACTCTGCTCCTTAGAGGCAACCATTCCATCTCTCTCTTTTAGCTGCCTGTTTATTCTTCATATCTTTGAATAAAATTGCAATTTTCTTGGTTTTTCCACGTTAGATATTAGCTTCGGACTTTATGGTACAGAATTACCATGATTAACACATATCACACCCACCTCACAAATACTTCTCCAATCCTCATCCTCTCATCATAGTTTTGCTACCATTTTTGGTTAAATGTGTACCACAGAGTATATTATGACTTGATTTCCTTCACCTATTTTTTCCTGAAGTTATTAATTACCTACTTTTTTCTTTTCCTCGGTTTTCTTTTTATCTATCATCAACTCTTCCCTTAAAAGTCTGGCAAAACTGTAAATTCCTCTCATCATGATCAATTGTTTTTTCCTAGAAACATACCTCCCAGTGCATTCCTTCTCCTTGCTCCAAATTAGATGAGCTGCTCTCTAGGTCTCCTGCACAGCTGTCTTCCTAGGGCTTTCCTTCCTGTGGGAATTCCCTTCACCATTCTCCTGTGTTGGAGACCCTGTTTCCTGGATCCTGTATCTTCCTCTTTCCTGGTTTCCTCCCTCATTCTGGAAAAGCATATCCTTCAGTAACTACCTAAGAAAGTATGTAAGGCAGGTGAATATTCTGAGACCCTGTATATCTCAAAATGCGTTTATTTTACCCTTGCACTTGAATGATAGCTTGGGTATAAATTTGAGAGTGGGAAATGACTCTTCCTGAAAACTTTGAAGTTATTCCCTGTTGTTTTCTAGCTTCATTCAATGTGGCAGAAAGTCCAACACTACTCAGAACCCTATACTTTGTATGTTTCTACTCTCCCACCCATCCCACAGAACAAGAAAACTTTGAGGATTTTTCTTTATCTCCAGTATTTTGAAATTTTATAATGATTTGTCATAGTGTGAGTCTTTTTATTATAATGAATTGGGTCTTTTCATTATGGAAACTCATACCTTTCAGTTCTGGAAAATTTTCTTAA